ACATCTATACCAATTTAAATAATTTTGATGAATATATATATAATATAGGTTATAATTACTAACAACGTAATTTGTAGGGCTACATACAAAAATACGAGTTCTGCTCAATAATTACAAATAAATAAAATCCAAATGGTTAGAGGGTCCTCAGTTCTCATACTCAAAATTACTGCTACTTTGTAGTTAAAGCTATTTTCTTTGGCAAGCTTCCAATTTTTAACCGACTTCAAAAAGGAGGAGGTTCTCAAATTCTCAATTTGTCATTATATTATTTTTATTGTTGTTCGCGCATATCTCAGACGTTTATTGATCTATTTTGATGACTTCTCTCATTTGGGAATAGTTTGTGAGCGAGATGGGCCCATATTAATTTGGTGAAGATCTGATAATAGCACTTTCGGAGATTAAGAGCGAATCTCCTCAAATACGAACAGTACACATATCGTGTTTGTTAATTTTACTAAATATGAAAGAGATTACAGACCAGACATCTATATTTAGTAAGTTGAATTTGTTCTGACTTATAAAAAGTGAAAAAAAAAACTTTTTTAACAAAAATAAAAAACGACTGAAGAACATTAAAAATTCAGAAATAAAACATTTTCATTACTGAAGTCCAAAGCTTTATGGTCAAATTAATAGTTGGAGTCAGTGCCATGCATGTCGGATAGATCGGGGTTTTTATTTACTTCTTGAGTTAGCATGGAACCGACTTCATATAAGTATTAATATGACTTTAAATGTACTTAAGACTTAAGTAAAGAAAATGTTTATTTTTTGCCAGCCTGTAAATAAGTAGTTACATGCTTTAATATTGGCATTGAAACTGTGCGTCAACCTAAGTAATCAACAACAAAATCAACAGCGGTAAAATGCGTACGTTCTAAATGCAAAGTCCACGCTATGCCTTCGAATGTTTAGAAACAGATGATCATTTTAAAACAAATATATATCTACCTATTTAGGTAGTAACTTACATATCTTTATAAAAAAAAATACTATATTACATATTCCTGTGTGATGGTTAAAAACAAAAAGCAGATTAACTGTGTAAGGTAAAAAAGTTAAGACATGAACCTGCGCCTGGGTCTTCGATTTCGAAGAGCAAGTTCGAAACTGAACCTTCCAGTAGCTTCTATTCAAAAGACTGACGATTTGGACGCGACCAAGTCATGACCGTTTATTGAATTTTATTTTGCTCTCCTAGACGTTTGGCTCTATATAGAGGGCTCAGGTATGTTGGGAGTACTTCACAAGGTGCAAGGTTGCCCCCCTTATGTTATTCTGCCGCATTCGAATAAACCCAAAAATCTCCGCTTGGGCTCCCTTACTACTATGTACAGTTTAAATCTAGAAGTACTTTTTACAAAGCAAGTTTCTTGTTTGTCGCGTTTATTAATGTGATTCGTGATTGTACTCTTATGTTATGTAGGTATGACTTATGGCTTTACAAATATAGTAAAATTAAGTCGGATGTCTGCTGCAAATAGGGTTGCCATCCGTTCGGGATTCTCCGAAAGGAGCGCCCGGGCGGGGTTTCATTTACAGCCTGGTTTTAAAATAAAATAAATAATAAATTTATAAGGTATATAGTTTGAACTGACACTGAACCCATAAATTCTGGCGTTCCACAAGGATCAATTTCACGCTATTTATTTAGCATATCAATGAATTATGATGTTAACTTAGTAGTTAGGTAGTCCTAACAACAGCATTCGTTGCTATGTGGATCACTGCACTGGTGACATTTCTTACACTGGTCTGCCAAATATCCCTTGGATATAAGTAGAAAAATGTAGCGACACACTTGTATCTGAGATTAGGACGTTACTGGATCAAGTCTCAAAGGAACGACAAATAATAAAACATCTGAATTCTAGGAGTTCTTCAAATGAAGTTCAATTCTGAGATCATTTGGTAGGAAAAACCAAACTAGCCCCCAAGAAGCTTAAGGTGCTCAATAGTGAGAAAGTACTTCAAATCTAAATATCAAAAATTGCAGATATTGCATCCTTGTGCGGTTGTTCAGTCTGGTGCCAGCGCAGCGGTGAAGTTCCTTCACCACATACCGCAGAGAGATTTTTGGAACGAAAGTTCCTTACGGCAGGCTTGGAGGGGATAGGGATTTTGCTGCGCGACCGAACTGAAAAAAATGTGATAGTGAAACCGTAAGAAAAAATGCGTGGAATAAAACCGTTAAATGAGACGTGCGCAGGCGCGACGAAGTTCCTTACGGCAGGCTTGGAGGGGATAGGGATTTTGCTGCGCGACCGAACTGAAAAAAATGTGATAGTAAAACCGTAAGAAAAAATGCGTGGAATAAAACCATTAAATGAGACGTGCGCGTAGGGGGTGGTAGAGCGACGAGGGTGCATCACTGAAATATTGTAATATTACACCAACACTGAATATGTGTGAAGTTATAGGGGGTGGTAGAGCGACGAGGGTGCATCACTGAAATATTGTGATATTACACCAACACTGAATATGTGTGAAGTTATAGGGGGTGGTAGAGCGACGAGGGTGCATCACTGAAATATTGTGATACTACACCAACAGTGAATATGTGTGAAGTTATAGGGGGTGGTAGAGCGACGAGGGTGCATCACTGAAATATTGTGATATTACACCAACACTGAATATGTGTGAAGTTATAGGGGGTGGTAGAGCGACGAGGGTGCATCACTGAAATATTGTGATACTACAACAACAGTGAATATGTGTGAAGTTATAGGGGGTGGTAGAGCGACGAGGGTGCATCACTGAAATATTGTGATACTACACCAACAGTGAATATGTGTGAAGTTATAGGGGGTGGTAGAGCGACGAGGGTGCATCACTGAAATATTGTGATATTACACCAACAGTGAATATGTGTGAAGTTATAGGGGGTGGTAGAGCGACGAGGGTGCATCACTGAAATATTGTGATATTACACCAACAGTGAAAATGTGTGAAGTTATAGGGGGTGGTAGAGCGACGAGGGTGCATCACTGAAATATTGTGATATTACACCAACACTGGATATTTGTGAAGTTATATCAAGCTGTGGACCAGTAACGCCTGTGAGACATGATTATGATTACAAGGTGAGTACTTATCAGGAGGTGGCAGAGCGACGGGGGTGCATCACTGGATTATTGTGACATTATAGTTTATTCTAAAATGTGGGCCAGTCCTGCCTAGCATCCTTTACGAACGCTAGCGGGACATGATAATAAGGTGCGTATGTAGGGGGTGGCACAGCTACGGGGGTGCAGCACTGGAATATTGTGACATTACACGAAATCTGGATATTTGTGACGTTATACCGAGCTGTGGACCAGGAACGCCTATCATCTGCTGTAAACTTAAGCTAGACATGATAACAAGGTCAGTACTTAACAGGGGGTGACAGAGCGACGGGGGTGCAACCCCAAATTATTGTGGCATTATACCAACACTGGATTATTGTCGTATATTATACTAAACTGTGCTTAAGTCCAGGGGGTGGCAGAGCGACGGGGCTGCATTACTGGATTATTGTGACATTGTAGTTTATTATAATCTGTGGGCCAGTCCTGCCTAGCAATCTTTACGAACACTAGCTGGCCGAACTGAAAAAAATGTGATAGTAAAACCGTAAGAAAAAATCCGTGGAAAAAAGTGCGTGGAATAAAACCGTTAAATGAAACGTGCGCAGGCGCGAAGTTCCTTACGGCAGGCTTGGAGGGGATAGAGATTGTGCTGCGCGACCGAACTGAAAAATATGTGATAGAAAAACCGTAAGAAAAAATCCGTCGAAAAAAGTGCGTGGAATAAAACCGTTAAATGAGACGTGTGCAGGCGCGACAGTCGCATACACAAGCGAGTTTGCAATTTGTGTCGATTCTACATTAGCCGAAGGAACTTCGTTCCTACCTGGTGTCCCACGACACCACATCATTTTTTTTGTCGCCATCATTTGGACGCTTGGCGTTCTAGCACCATGCGTTTTGCGCGTTCCTTTCTCTTGCGTACAAGCAAGATCTGGAACGAATTTCTGGGAAGTTTATAGCTATAATGGCGGTCTTCACAAGACGGGTAAACCTTTTCCTTCAGAGCTGGCAATGCATGAGTGGTAACCTTGGCGCTAAAAGTGTCCAAGGCAGTGACCACTTACCATCAGATGGACTGCTAGCTCGTTTGGTTGCATCAACATAAAAAAAGTCAAGTCATGACATTTGGAACTGTTTTTTATCATACTAAATTTTAAAAAACTGTTGACCTGTTCGTGTTCTGGGCTCCAAAATAAGGGTTTTAGTCCTGGTTGCTAAGATATGGCAACCCTAGCCGTAAGTAGGTACCTAGATATATTACGATTGTTTATGAAATTATTATTTTTAGATGAGTCAAAAATACTATAAAAATGGTAGAAGCAAGAGATAACTTACTTATCTGTGCGGTCTCCAATGTAAAAACAAATATCTTATCAAAATTATAGGCATCTAAGTCGCAGTCAGCTTTTGTCAACATACCTTACCTACCCTGGACTGGAAAACATAACAGTAAAGATAAAATACATTACTAATGGGTATTTCGCAGCACAAGTTAGCAAAACTAATTTTAGGAAGGTATAAAAGAAGCCTTCTATATAAAGAGGAAGGTGTAAATAAGCCTTTTATATTTCCTATTACTCTTTCAGTTATTGCGAATAACTGAAAGGGTAATAAAACGTTCACTTTAATGAGATTTTACGTAATTAGTAATTCTCATTTCGCCACTTATTTCTCCAGCAGCGCTCTTTTGTCAATGTCATACTATAAGTGCCACAAGACATACACACTAATACTACACGATTAACTATACTTTGTCAATCAGAAAATGATTAAGGTCTAGCGGGCCAGGCATCTGCACCTCTTATTAATATTAGTTACCTTAAAAATACTGTCTAATGTCAACTAATCCTAGTAATCGACTAGTACTAGTACCTACCTGTCTAAAACTTCAAAAACAGTAAGAAAATAAAATCAATTAAATATGTTCAGTACAAAGACGTTTATTCCCTTAATAAGTTAAAACAATAAATAAATGCCGTAGATACATAATATTACTGTTTAATATAAAATACCCTAGATTCCTTTTGTGACAATAATAAAACTTGGTAAATAAATTATCAAAGGTTACTTCTTAACCTAATTTCATAAAGTCACTTTTCCAGACTCTTCTTCAAGTTTTCAGCCAGCTTATTCATAAATTCGAAAGTTTCATAGTAGTCTGACCTTTTAACGTTGTTCATTCCCTTGATACAAATAGCAAGATCCTTAGTCATTACTCCAGATTCAATTGTGTCAACACATACTTTCTCAAGAGTTTCCGCAAAGTTTTTCAGAGCGGCGTTGTCGTCCAGTTTGGCTCGGTGGAGAAGGCCTCTGGTCCAAGCAAATATAGACGCAATAGGATTGGTCGATGTCTCCTTTCCTTGCTGGTAGAAGCGGTAATGCCTAGTCACTGTTCCGTGAGCCGCTTCAGCTTCCACAGTCTTGCCATCAGGACAAATAAGCACTGAAGTCATAAGACCCAACGACCCATAGCCCTGCGCAACCGAATCGGACTGTACGTCACCATCGTAATTCTTACATGCCCAAACAAATCCACCCTCCGACTTCATTGCGTAGGCAACCATATCATCGATCAATCTATGCTCGTACCAAATGCCCTTGGCTTCAAACTGAGTTTTGTATTCCTTGTCATAAATTTCTTGGAAGATATCCTTGAAACGACCATCGTATTTCTTGAGGATAGTATTCTTTGTGCTCAAATATAGAGGGTATGCTCTATCCAAAGCATACTTGAATGAAGAATGAGCAAAATCAACAATAGAAGCATCAGTATTAAACATACCTAGAGCTACTCCAGCACCTTTGAAGTCGTTAACGACGTGTTTGATTGGTTCTCCTGTAGGGGGGGTCCAAATGAGCTCTAGTTTGCCTGCTCCGGGTACAACAAAGTCTGTCGCTTTGTACTGATCGGCGTGTGCGTGACGGCCAATAATGATAGGTTTTTCCCATCCAGTTACCAGACGTGGAATATTTTTGCAAATAATGGCTTCCCTAAAAACAGTACCTCCTAAAATGTTACGAATAGTGCCATTAGGGCTTTTCCACATCTTTTTCAGCTTGAATTCTTCAACACGCTTCTCATCTGGAGTTATAGTAGCACACTTAATACCAACATTGTATTTTTTCACTGCATTTGCACAATCAATGGTAACTTGATCATCAGTTGCATCACGATTCTCCATACCCAAATCATAAGTATGTAACTCAATATCTAAGAATGGTAAAATGAGTTTATCCTTAATGAGATCCCAAATAATTCTAGTCATCTCATCTCCCAAAATATCAACAACGGGTCCTGCCTTTATCTTCGACATTATGATAATACTGGAATAAAAAGAAAAAAAATACTTCAATAATCTTTTTTTCTAATAAAAAATAACAGGACCAAAACAATTATTTCTTTAGTGTGCACTGGAAAACACTGGATAAAACTTATTTCTGTATCAAGTAATTGAAATCTCCATTATTTTCAGCTACATTATCTAACAATTACTCACAAGTATTATGTAAATATTTTTTAATCAAAGTTTAATGTTAATTAAGATTACAAAAAACAAAACACATTTATTTTCATAAGTCTTATTTGTATCAATAACACTCAGTCAGCCAAAGATCAAGTTAACACACAAATTAAATTTTATGTTAAGCATCCTAAAGATTAAAATCAGTTAGAAACATTTGACTGTTTTGCATAATTTGACCTTGACTGTTGGTGCCTACATAATTAACCTTGGCATAAACAAAACAGGAATGAAGGGAAAAGTTTCTAATGAGTGAATAATATACCTCTGTAACTATTTACTGTTGAATGTTTATAAGAAAAGTCTAGTAACTCAGACATGTCTAATTTATTCTAGTTAAATTTTGTTTTGATGACAATACGAAATAAATTATTTGTATCTGATTGATACTATTTATGTTGTTTCCTTAATTTGAATTTAGAAATTATTCATTTTGAGAAAATATTCTTCATTTTTAATTACACTGAGTATCATAAACATACAATAAAAGATTTGCAAGTCATAATGATAAAATGTGTTAAGCTTGTCTTAATCTTTACATTCTAACAATTTAATTGGCTATAATGATTTACATCACATTTACCTATTGTATGTAAAACAATGATAATTATCATGAATTAAATAATTTATGTAAAATATATTTGGAAGCATATCTTTATTGGATATACTGTACTTCCAGGGCCCAAAAGTAAAAACTTCACAGTTTTGTTGGTTGTAATTTCGCATTTTGTTGTTAAAAAGGTTTCTGTTAACCACATTATTAAAAAAAATGTCACACTTATGCACTGGCAGTTTTTTGGAAAAAAATATTGAAAATTTTTACTTTTCTTATCAAGTGGTGATACTTCACACTAGGTTAGGTTAAGTTAGTGTTGTGACCATAACGCGCGAGCCGAGCGAGCAAAGCGAGCGCGCCGCGGTAGCGGCCGGCGAAGCGCCAGAAAAAAAAACTGTTAAAAAGACCTTTTCTACAAAAAAAAACAAGTATCACCTTTTGGGCCCTGGAAGTACAGTTTTACCTCTTTATTTATTTTTATAAACAAAGTATACTTTTTGGTAGTCTAAAAAGGTATTTATTATTCTCGGTTTTCAAATACATGGGTTATTTTAAAAGTAATAAAAAGGCTGAGATCTAAAGATTATTATAGTCTTGAGTAGAGATTGGATAATCAGATGCATGAATAAAGTTAAGATGTTGGCTATTATGGAAAGTTCTTTTTTATTGAAAAAATCCTGCGATCCCAGAAAATTAAAATCTAAGTTTAAATACTTAGCGAGATCTAATAAACCCAGATTGACACAAATGATAGTTGCTCTGTATCACATAAAAATATTGTGTAAGATGTCCTTATTTAATAAATAAATTTATATTCACTTATGTTTTCTTATTAACCACACCACCTATTTTTATACACTGAACACAAATGGGAAATTTAACTTTAAATTAATATACATTCGATAAGCTAAGTAATCCCAGAAACTCCAGATTTTATTTTTAATAAAAATATCCTAAGAATTCCATAATTTGTTAGCCAAAAAATAACTTTAGGTAAATATGCATCCGATTATCAGGTCTCTACTCATGAGACAATAAAGATATGTTTATAACTTCCAACATTAACCTAATTAAAAAAATTAAATTAGACAATTCATCATACACTCACTCTCAAGTATGCATCAGGTCACATGCATGCAAAGTATAGTAAGTGAATGTATAGCATGTACCAGGTTGTTATTAATTATTTAAGCATAGCTTTTTACTCCAAAGTTGAAGAAAGTACCAATTAAACAAAATCATTTATGAATGAAATAGAAATATTAAAAATGCTTAAATGCTAAAAATACTATATTCATATCATAACAAAATAACTTTGCTACATCAAAATAGAAAATCTTGGTAATAATACATATAATAATCATATATGACCAAAATAATACTTAATATCAAACAGTAGATACCTGCTAAGAATACTTCATCACATTAAAATACAAATACTTATAAGTACAAACTGGAAAGACAAGTATTTCTCAAGTACAAAGTTCAACAACTTAAACAAATATCGAACTAACTATCCTTCTCAAATGTGCCAGCGAAAAAATTCAACGAAACCGTACCTAAATTGCACTAGAAAATTTATCAATTATTCTTACCTACCGATAAAACTATGTAGAAAAACAAGGTAATGATTTTGGAAAGTAAACTCAATAGTGAAGATAGGCACCGTCTCACTTCTACAACGTCTCCAGGGCAACTACTGAATAGATAGCCGGCACCGTAATCATGATAATGACCTCAATGACATCGTTTTACTTGTATCCATGGGCAATAAGTTTTAACCACATACGTATCTTAATTGATACGCAAGAATTTAGTAAAATATCACATTAAAGCTCTTCATAAAATAATATACATAAACCTAATTAATTATAAATACTTACAATGTTTTAAAGTCACTGGAAAACCGAAATTACCGATGCAGAAGCAAACTGAACTGATTAAAGGAAGGTAAGAGGAAAGCAAAATAACATAACACACGTCACCTGACAAGTGACAGTGATTTTTTTAAATTACTTTACCTATTCTGGGAAGGCTAAGGGTATTGTGCCCATGTATCTAATTCTTAATTATTATTCTTTAGTTTCTGTAATCTTGAGGACGGAGCTAAGTATTCTTTTTGGTATCTTCTCTTCCCTTTGATCTTCGATATAGTTCAAAAGCACTTCTTACTTAGTATTTTTCTTATAATGATTTTCTTTAAAGTCTTTTTTTTGTATGTACAGTAATGACAGAACTACACTTATCTGATGAGATGTGTTGTGACTTTGACGCGTCAGATATGTATCAGTTTCATACATTAGGGTACGGCCACAGTGCACGCTGGTTCAGAATCAGATTCAGACTCAGAAAACAAGCGCGAGAAATAAACAGTGTAGTTTAAGCAGGGTGGCCATAGTGGCAGCAAGTAACTGGTTGCCCGCGCAGATTTCGGAGTCAGGCACTTTGGGTACGGCCAGAGTGCACTCAGATTCAGACTCAGAAAACAAGCGCGGGAAATAAACAGTGTAGTTAAAGCAGGGTGGCCATAGTGGCCGCAGGCAACCTGCTTAAACTACACTGTATATTTCTCGCGCTTGTTTTCTGAGTCTGAATCTGAGTCGCTAAAGCGACCAACTTCATGCGTTACTTTTGTGTTTACCGCACATTAAGAAAATCTACCAACAAAATAGAAATAGAATCTCTATTTTGTCGGTGCTAACGACTGCATTGTGAAGGCCTATCAAAAGTATTTATTAATCTGGAACAACGGAACCAAAGCGCGATTCAGGAGACTACAGCGCCATCTCTTGACCATTGGTGTAGTAGAACCAAAAACCACATCTTTATTTTTTGTAATAAAGTAACAAAAAGTATTTATTAATCTGGAACAACGGAACCAAAGCGCGATTCAGGAGACTACAGCGCCATCTCTTGACCATTGGTGTAGTAGAACCAAAAACCACATCTTTATTTTTTGTAATAAAGTAACAGTTATAGGTATTCATATTTTTAATATTTATCCACATGTTTCTAGTTTGTATATTCGGAATACGTGTTTGAGTTTCATACAAGTGCAAATCACATATGTTCTAATAAATTATATTCAGTAGCGATTTTAATTGAATATTTTGATTATTTATTTATTTTTTCAAATTAAAACTGAACTTTATTGACTTCGTCCTTTTCCAGACTTTTTATTAATTTATTGTAATTAATTATTTGCATGCAATTAAAAACTAATTTTAAACGATGCCAAAGAAGGATAACTTCTCACGCGCCTACATAAGTACACGCACCCATTATTATTTGTATTTAACCATGTCTAAAAGGGGTAAAACCTTGCAAATACGGTAGAAAAGCACTACAGCGCCCTCCAATCTAAATCCCATTCTCTTTCCGCACAGACTCTACTTACTATATTTTTTTCTATTTTTTTGCCAGCTACTATATTTTTACCCGGCTGCGCAATGCAACAGCGCGAAGCGCGACGCGCAGGCAGGGTTATGTGTTTAACAGTCTATATATACATGTTTGTTCCTTTGTGGCACACTAGAGACCAAACGCCTGGACCGATTTTGATGATTCATACATCAATCGATTCATCTCAATCATGGGAGTGCTACTAAAAATATGATAGTAATCAAAATTCAATATGGGCAAAATTAGGCGCCATATTGTGACGAAGAAAAAAAAAAAAGTTGACAAAATATGCCGAGTGGGATATCACTGTCTAGATAATCGAAAATCATATTCAGGTTAGTAACACCATTTTTCATTTTATATGATTGTTTAGGATCTACAACGCTTTAAAGTTGTATATTAACCACTTACACTTTTAATTTTAATCTTACGTTTGTATAGATATTTGTTACTCCTTCACCTAAAAAATACTGAATGGATTTTAATGAAACTTAACAGTAATATAGCTCATATATGATAATTACATATATATAATAATTTATGTAGTTATTGAGTGAATTGGCCATATATAGCAATAAGTGTCACATAAGACTGAAAAAATGTCCCATCTGCGAGCCATTTTGGCCTGCAGTGCAAAAACAATAAAAGTTACATGAATGTAATGTAGAGTGGAAATGTATCTCTTAAATAATTCTAAAAAAAGTCCGTGACACCATATATCTATTTTTAATGTGTAAGTCATTACCGCTAAAATAGTGAATCGAAACTAAAATATTATTTGATATCTATTTCCAAAATGCACATTTTGTATTAACAAATCATTTTTTATCAAAACAAATTAATACTTTGTGTTCGATAATTTATATTTACTGCTAAACTATTAAAAAAACATAAACAAAAGATGACTTTTTGAGTAAGTGCTAGTTTACTATAAGAGATATTTATGTAACGACTTGATTTAACTTCACACATTTTTGCGAAAATTGAGGCCCATCTGTAGCCTTGACCCCGCTGGTAAAGTCTTTATATGTCTTAATAAATCAATCTTTTAGACCGACGCAAGGTACTTAATAATTAAAATACTAACTAAAAAGTGTGAAATAAAAAAGGTAAATTTAAAAAATCAAAAAACCCGACTGCTTAATTATTCTTCAAATAAAAACTGAAAAGAAAAAAACAAGTCCAGTAGTCTATGATTCTGTTAATAAGGAACAAAGCTACTTTAACAGTCGGGACCCACTGTTGAAAAATATTATGTATTCTTGAATATCTAATGGGTCCCGACTGTTAAAGTAGCTTTGTTCCTTATTAACAGAATTATAGACTACTGGACTTGCTTTTTTCTTTTCAGTTTTTATTTGAAGAATAATTAAGCAGTCGGGTTTTTTGATTTTTTAAATTTACCTTTTTTTAGAAGTAACTCTTCCAAAATTGCTAACCTAAATTGCTTAAGTTGGTTACCCTAACTGCAGGTTATAGTTGTTTAAGTAACCCTTTTCTTGATTGTGTTATAAACAAACATTTAGTGCCTTGCTTCTTGTTTGCGATCTACTCTTGTTTCTTAATTTATATATTAGAATTAACATAATGATATAGAAGCATCTATCGGTAGAGTTTTTCGTATCCCTGCTGTATGGGATAAAAGAGACAAGAACCATTGAAATAGGAATGTCGTTGATAGGTGCTGGCAAAACTTTGCTGGAGAATGGGTGTTGAAGATAAAGAAAAACTTTTTTGTTGTAGTCTATTTTTAATACAATTTATTATATAATATTCTAAAACGCGTATTGCGTCGTAATGATTGTAACAAAAAGTATAATATAAAATGTAAACATAAATTAAACAACAGGCACGCATACCTACAGATCTTTTCTAGATACCCAAATATTCCATGAAATTATTCCCGTTTTAAAAAACTATTATTAACTTTAAATTGTTACGGTTGGTTTTGTATTATACTCTTATAAAATATCCAATATAATCAAAAAAAAGAACTTTTCAACAGTGAGAAGTTTCTATATTGTTGTAATAAAGTCAATCTTATTTTTATATACATTTAAATAATCCATTATTATAAAACGGATGTGTGAAATTTCTCCCCTTATTAATCCCCCCAAAAATATTTTCCCCCGATTAATCCATTCCCATCGCTTTAAAACCCCTCAAATTTGGGAGGAATCCCCCAATTTTTTTTCTAGTAAACTTTTCTTTAGATTTAAACATCTAGCAGTTAAATGCTTAAAAAATAAAGAAAATCATAACCATAATTGCTATTTTTTCTTTCAAATGTTTAATACTTGAAAAAGTATTCATTTGACATTATGGGTTACCTACAATGCGAAGAGATGGCGCTGCCTTGCAGCTTAAGGCTAGGAAAATTTCGACGCGGCTAATAGGGCCGTGGTAGCATAATGGTCAGTGCATTCGCCCGGATAGCGAAGGATGCTGGTTCGAGTCCCGTCCCCTGCCTGGTCCGCGTCGATTTTTTTCTAGTAAACTTTTCTTTATATTTAAACATCTAGCAGTTAAATGCTTAAAAAATAAATAAAATCATAATATAGTCTTCTTTTATATTACTTCAAGTATACAAGATTACTAAACCTAAAAATTAAGATAATAGAATAAATGAACTGTCATTTTCATCTAAACGTGATTTAGCATATAGTAAATGAATGATATTTACCTAATATTTTTATTAATTTAAAAGTAACGCAAAAGTTTAGCGTTTTTGAGTAGGGTAACGCCACAGGGCCAAAGTAACGCAAAAGGCTACAGAAGCAACGTTCTGGTAACACTTCGTCAGAAGGGATCAGATGATCAGATACATGTGAACGCTACTAAATACTATAAAACTGCTCCAGTTCGGTAGAGTTTCTATAGTAATTGACAGATAAGTATAGTTCTGCCTTAAAGCTAAAAAAGGGTCGCAGGCACGTCATTTGTTAAGCAGGAAATATCAAATATATTTCAGGCTTAATAAATGACAGTCAAAAATGATAGATTTTCTCGTGTGTCTATTCGGGGAAATATAAAAATTTGGGGGAAATCATAAAATTGCATCTAGCAATGGCAACCCTACTGTTGTCAAAAATATTGATTGAAGATTTGATTTTCCGAACGACATTTGGTTTTTCTAATATTTTTTGTTAATTAAGCAGAGAACAGTTTTAAATGTTCCCTAATTTCTCCTCATATGTATGTTGTTTAGTAAGTGCGCGAGTGGTGCATCAGTTTGGTCGAGATGGTGATTCAAAAGGTTTGGAACAACGTTGAAGCGTCACAACAAAATTCTTCTGAAAACACTACATCCAGTAACTCATGGAACTTTCAAGCACCAACAAAAACTATAACTGTTCGCACTAACGACGCTTTAGTAGGTGCTATGCAGGTGAATACTGTTTTGCATATATGTAATGATGATACAAATAATTTTATCATTTACATAAGTGGATAGAAACCTACGAGAAACTAAATTTATTTCTTCCAGAAACAACCTATAACCAGACAAATCGCCATCAACACGCTGGCTGCTATGCACCGAAGATTTAGCCTTCCAGGTCCAGTACAACCTCACTCTCGGCCAATAGCTGAATTTCGAGCAAGTGCCAATAAATCCTTAGACATGTTAAGACAAACCATACAATCTGCTGTAACTAGAGAAATCGATCAAGTTATCAAAAAATATTTAGAGGTAAATATTTTTTTATTATTGATAAAAAAATTACTTTTTAAAGAAATTTCTATATCTTCCAATACAAAATCGCATATCTTTTGTACTGCCTCAACTGCATGCGTCAAGTTGCAAGGGATCAGTGTAACATAGTTATCGTAATGGTTTTATTCCTTAGTAATATTCACATAAGCAGTGGCTTCCATTCTGGCCTGATTCTCTAAACCTAAAATTATATTTGAAATAGTGTATCTTTGCCATTCTTTTTACAGAACGGAAAGCAGAGACTGCTGTTAAATTATGTATTAAGTTTAGTGAAATCATGCCAGAATCAATACAAATCAAAACTATAATTTGATTTTTTATATCAATAATTTGATGAACCAAAATGCATTTTCAGAAATTCTTTGTTCCCGCTGTGAATAATATAAGACTGAATTTGGGAGATGAATCTGTCAGTGAAGATCAAGTAAGTGCTTGTGGATGCAGTATATTTTGTAATTACAAATCACTAAGACGATCTTATCCAGTTACCATGTTATTTGAAAGAAAGTATATCACTGGTCTCATACAATAGGGTAGTCTATGCAAAAATGTGATTTTTTTTTGTTTCACTATTCAGTACGTCATCCTGGTTCCCTAAAACATACAAATTATCATATAAAGTAGTTTTTTAAAAATTTAAAGACTTTTTGTTCTATCTCATATAAAGGAGATTGCACAGCTTCCATACATGTTTGGCCTAAAGACCAATAATCATGAAATATTTGTTTCCTAGATTCGAAATTATATATAATTACTGTAGAAACGAAGCTTATTGATGGACACCCCTGAGAACTTCTATAAACCATATATACTGAACATATTAAAATAATAAAAAACAAATAAGTTATAAAGTAAACTAGGGAAATCAAGCCAAGTACCGAAATTATGGATTAGATTCAGGTATATAGAGCAAGTAGATTAACAGATAGTTGCCTGTTTTTAAAGTTAATGCTTAAGAGTAACTTATAAAATCAGGTGTCATCTATGCATTTCCGGTTATAATAAGGTACTCTGTGACAGAAACTGTGTGATGATTGTGAATGAGCCACAGATTAGAGAGAATTTTTAAACTTTCGTTAACCAAAGAAAGCCAAGAGATTTAGGTTCTATAGCTATATATTCAGTAGCTGCATTATTTTTGTTATGTTTTTAAGATAACCATATTTTAGATTTTTAGTGTAGCACACCTTATAATTTTATTTATTTATTAATTTATAGTCAGGGAACGTAGGCCTGTAGATAGATACCTTAAAGTCTAACATATATACAGATTGTAATATGTGTTTATGGAGGTGTTTGGCGAAAAATGTATGGCAATAGACTTTATGATGTCGCCTACCATCTATAATAATTGTCTGAGCACATTTGCATCTAGTGAAAATGATAATATAGTTGTGGATATTAATACCACAGTGTAATAAAAAAAATGATTTATTTTATTGATCTTTACAAAATAGATTTGTTTTTATGTTATATGAACAACTTTGATCAGTCTTTGGCTGAATGTTACTACACCCATAGCCATTAAAAATGATTTGTATGTTATCCAAACTGGTAAAATTAAAAGTCCTTTTTAAAGTAAATATAATTATTATACAAAGGTGTCCGTAGAAATCGAATGACTGTAAATTAAATTATAAATTACGCCAAGAATTACCATGTATGTCAATATTTTTTGTGCGTTTGGGCCAATTTGAGCAATCTCCTTTATCAGGCAATAGAGGTATAAGGATAAAGTGAAGCTTTAGTTTGAGAGCTTGTTATTTCATGTAGTTCATAAATATTCTAATAAATGGTTTTATTATTCTTGGTCCTTAAATGTTGCTAAATCATATGCCTTTTATACTACGCTATTATAAAATATGGCTTAATTGGAAAGTAAAAAAAATATATGAATAACTTTTTGTGGAATCAGTTCAGTGTCCAAATATAACTTGGAGAACTAAGATTATTTTACCATTTTCCATTAATGTTGGAATATTTTTTGACATACTACTTAATGTTTAGGATTTTATTACATTTTGGACTTAGTAAATGTATTATCTAATACAGGCTTAAGTACCAAAAGTACAGAATTTATTTCTCATAACCAAAAACAAAAGACATTACAATCATTTGATCCTGTAAAGTTGGGTTTATGCTTATACACCCCTATTGCATGAGACCTTGCGATATGTACTGAGATATATAAATATTTGCAAGAACACTTAAAAACATAAAAGAGGCACCAATAAATTCAGACTTAATTTACATTTTTTTGTTAAAATATTGAATCTCATTAGATAATTATGAACTTTCTGCTGTTAATATACCTACTGTTGTTAAACATATTTCTGATATTGTAGGTAAGGGCAGTGTGTCGTGCAATGTTAGATGCTACTCGTCTCCTGTACACAACCCCACCTAAGCCAACTCCTTCACCACTAGAGACCAGTGATTCTGAATCAAACAATAGCATTGATTCTAAATTCGCAAAGCAAGTAAGTAACAGTACAGTACTAAAATTATATTAGTTTACTATTAACTGTTTAGCTGTTAAGAATAATAATTTAAAATCAGTAAATGAATTTTGCAGTTCATTTGAATGGGAAACAATATTTCTCTGCAATGTGCATTTCTTCTCATATTTTGCATAATCATTGAAAATAGCATATTAAGTAAAAATCTTGTTAATTGCTTGTTATATGGGAAAATTGCTAACCAACTGCTCAATTCATTTAACTTATTGTTTGTTGCTTATTCTATTAAAACAATCTTTTTACTTTTATTATAAGTTGCAGAGTCCATCACAAAAACGTAAAGAGTCTGATTTGGAAACTGACTTGGGCTTGAAACGCAAGAAAATAAAGCAAGAAGAGAATTCTGACAGTGCATCTTCATCTCCTCTGCCATCACCAGCTATTAGGGACCCAGAAAAATGGAACCCAACCAGACTGACTCAAGACACACTATTTATTATGGGATCTCATGCACACAAGGTTATATTTATATTGCTTATTTGAAGTTACATTACATTCTGATTACCTTATTATATAAATTTGCTTCATATTTTGAACATAGGGCAATTTTTTTACAAGTAGGAATTTAAAAAACAGTACTAAAAAATTCTTTAAAGAAAGTATGTTAACATTTATCTCCTTGAAATCATTAAAAAAAAATTACAAAACAGTTTCAGTCTTACTACAAAAAAGTTAGATACAGTTTCGAAACTTTTTTAGGCAAAATTTGTATGATATTTTTTATTAAACTTGTGTATTCAACACAACTAACTTTTTTGCAGTAATGAGGTTAACTCAAACAGCTAAAACTTGTTTTTATTGAATTGAATAATATGGCCAATCTTACTTTTTTATATTGAATCATACAATATATGATGAAGTCTTTATATACATTTGTTTCAAATTATGGTATAATCTTCCAGGTTTTAGGGTTGGGTAATTCAAGGGGTCGTTTGTACACAAGGCATGCTGGTTTACTTCGCTACCCAGCAGATAGTGTTGATAAAGAGTGGATTGCCAGTCATAATTTAGTAAATGCAGTTGGAGGAAAAACTTATATAATGGTAATATGTTATAGTAACTATATTTTGTAATAGTTTCAAAAATAAATGCAGAATTGAAATTATGGTTTTAATCTGTAGGTATTGGAAGATATTGAAGAACTTGCACACAGTGAAGCCTATCGACACAACTCATTGCCAATGCTTGGTGAATTGACAGGATTCAAAGTTCCACCATTTATGTTAAGGAAAATCAAAACTTACGTAATGAAGCGAGCACTAAGTTGCGATAACGCCGATAGTCCTCAACCGTCCACAAGTAATGCCCATGAAGAAATTAAGCTAGAGGATATCAAAATGGAACCACATCAAAATTATGATAGTAATTTTAATGCTAGTCAATACATTACTAGCTCTGACGACACGCAAGATTTCCCTGAAGTGCCGAATCTTAAAGATGATGGTGACTTTGCTGATATCAAAGTAGAGGACATTGAAAACATCAAGGTGGATGGTTTAAAAGTGGGAGATTTAGATGAAATGAAAGTCGACGGGATTAAAGTTGAAGATTTGGATGTGAACAGTATCAAAGTAGAGAATATAGATGATATAAATGTTGATGGTATTAAAGTTGAAGATATCAAACTAGAAAATGAGGATGCATTTTCTCTCTGCAAGGAAACAGATGATGATCAAAATCATTTGGTGGATGGCCTCTTAGAAGCTGATATAGAATTCTTGAGCCGTAATTTGGGTAACATCGAAAGTGATGCTGATGCAAGAAAAACAATTGAGAAATTAACTGGAGCCAATCCTGATACTATCACTTTGGTGGGAGATGAGTTTGATTTGGGATCAACCTTAAATACTACTAATGTGAGTAAAAAACTATTAATTATACTTTTTAAGTCATTCTTTAATTGTAAATTTATCAGCAAATAGTAGAAGTTCTTTCAGAAAGAATAATTTACATTTTCTTTGTTCACTGATCAAAATTCTACGTTTTTTTAAATATTCTGATAAAGATAAATTCTGTGTAAAGTTTACTTTTTTAAATTTGTGTGCATAAATTATGATTATATGAAGGTGCTTAAAAAGGGCTACGAAAGGTTTACCTTCACATATTACTGTAATATGGATGATGAATAAATAGATCATCAAAAAATATTGGACATGTATTTTTTCTTTATTCACTTATTATACTGATTTGAAATGTCGCATTACGTCTCGTCTTTCTACAGTTTTTACTTAGAAGGTCGTCATTAGCCCCCTCTTCCACATTTTCAAGCGCTTTATTTTTGTCATCTTTGGTTGATTGACAAAAGAAAAAGTTCGTGTTATTATTTTTTGATAGTCTTATTTAAGGTATTAAACTGAGATTTGTAAATCTTAAGAAATTCATTTCATGAATTTCTTTATATTTAAAATCATACTTTACTATAGTTACATTAAAATTTTTCTACAAAAATTTACTAAAATATAATTTATTTTCCTCCCTACAGTTTTCCAACAACCAAACGACAAAGTGTATAACCGTAGCTTCCACAACAAGCGGTATGATACACAGCGTTCCCGTAGCTCATATCGCTGCACCGCCCCGTATCACCGGCAGTACTGTGCATTACTACACCAGTACTTCTGTGCCCAATACTCAGAGAACGATTCACCATTTGCCTCAAGCAACAGTCACTATACAGAGCATACCTGGTTCCACATCCCAGATGATTCGTGGGTGAGTCGCTATAAAACACTATTCTTTAGAATTAATTTCCAGCAACACTGATAGCTACAACACCAGTACTTTGGTGCCCAATACTCAGAGAACGATTCACCATTTGCCTCAAGCAACAGTCACTATACAGAGCATACCTGGTTCCACATCCCAGATGATTCGTGGGTGAGTCACTATAAAACACTATTCTTTAGAATTAATTTCCAGCAACACTGATAGCTACAACACTAGTACTTTGGTGCCTAATACTCGGGGAGCGATTCCCCATTTGTCTCAAGTTACTGTAACTATACAGAGTATACCTGGTTCTACTTTGCAGATGATTCGAGGGTGAGTTGTTAATTATTATTAAACGCTTTTTACCCTCTTCTCTTAGCGTATGATCAGATCACAGACAAAGATTGAAATAGATAACGCAAGTGTATGTACTTCGCGTGCCAAAAACTTGCTAAAAGAGAGGCGAAATCAGAGGCGATCCGTATCAAGAAGTGATAAAAAGAATAAAATAGGGGAATAGAAAAATGCATCCGTATGCAAATCATTTGTTTTTAATGTCTGATTGTGCTAAAATAAGATTTAAAAACGATAGAATTAAAACGGGTTCCGGTGCCCATGCTTTTTCACCACTTAGTTTGTCATCAAAATATGACAGACTCGGTTTTCATACAATTTGATGCACTTGCATTGCCTACTTAAATCTAGATCTGTGGGTATGATACACAGCGTTCCCGTAGCTCATATCGCTGCACCTCCCCGTATCATATCGCTGTAATTCCCCATATCGCCGGCAGTACTGTGCATTACTATACCAGTCCCCGTAGCATGAGCACCACAATTAACATTATATCACGTTTTTTATCGCGTCTAACTGTCAAACTCCATAATTTGATAATTGAGCGTGATAAAAACGCGTTATAAATCATATCGCGGTACTCATGCTTGGGGGACAGTACTTCGGTACCTAATACTCGGAGGACGATTCGCCATTTGCCTCAAGCCACTGTCACTATGCCGAGCAAACCTGGTTCTACTTCGCAGATGATTCGAGGGTGCGTGTCGCTTTCTTAAAAAAAGCTACAGCATTTGAACACCATTCTTTAGTGTCTTTTACCAGCGGTAAGGTAATGTTGACGTAATTTTACGTGATATAGCCATAGCGATAAATCTACGTCAGTTTTGGGTATCTGGACCAATGTCTACACAAAGATAGTACAACTTTTACATTTTTGTTAAGTTAACTGTGTTAACACTTATCAGAGGTTGTCATTTAATTTATATATGTTTGTATTTTTCGTATATGACCACATACCACATTTTTATTTAAACCTAATGCTAACGACTACATATTCAATATATGGCAGTCGCGCAGCACAGTTTTTAATCATTAGAGAAAGTTGTTTTGGCTATGTTATTATTTTAGTACCTAAATAATCAAAGTAATTTTTTGAGGAAGAATTTCATAAAATATTAAGCAATAAAATTAATTCATGCCAGGGTTGATGCATTTTCAAAATTTTGCAGTATCAAAATCTTAATGCAATAACTAACTTGAATCATTCTTTGGCAGGATACCCATAAACACCAAGACGGGCACATTCAGCACTGTGATGTCCCAAGGCACGGCAAGCACCATAATCGGCTTCGGCACTCGCACGAACAACGCAACCATCATCGGAACACCAACCCAGTACGTTAACGTATCTTCCAAATCTTTTCCCACCGGCAATATCCTCCACAACGCTATCGTTTCTCGCAATATCATCAACCGCAACTTTAACGCTGTCACTTCAGGCGTGTCTTTTAACGTGACAGCCGTAAGACCAGTGGTCCACACCACCGCGCCTAAACCGACCACCGTCGTAACGGCGAGTTCCGACTTCGACAACATATCGACGACAAAAGACATGATAGACAACGCCTGCAATTCTTCTGTCATGCTTAAAAAAGTGCTCACATTAGGCAGCGCAGGCGCAACGAAGTCTTTCATGATGCACAACACTCAGAAAGTTCTGTCCACGGGTTTTGCTAACGGCTCAACACCTCCGCCGAACGTGACTATAGTTAGTTCCGGTACTAGTGGCGGTTTGTTAAACAACCCTAACATTGGACTCTCGACTTCTACCATAGGGAGTCCGACTTCGGGAACGCTGAGTGCTACTCATGCGACTTTGTCTGCCCTACTCTCTTCAGGGGAAGGAAACCCACCGCCGAACAAAAACTAAATATTTACCATTCCCGTTTTGCCCATAGTGTTCTGCCCTTTAATCTTGATCTCATACGTTAACAAAAGCTTCGCAAACGTAGACACTTTTTGTTACCGACACGGCACACCATCACGGAAAGCCGTAGTTGCTGTGTCCGGTAGAAGCTCAGCTCAGTGTAATTGTCAAGGAATTTGTTAATGTTGCTTGTGTATTCAACTGACGACTTTTAGTTTCGAGTGACTGACACCGAACACTTTTGATCGTCAACGAGTATGTGTAAGGTGGAAGCAACTGGACACGAAAAATGTTAACTAACGTCTGCGCAGTGAGTGGCTGATTTCATACTGGTTCTATAGAAATCAAATATTCATTTGTAGCTTGTATATACAAGACAGACAAAAGTGTACACGTTTGCGCAGCGTCGTAGACATGTAATATGTGATTAAAATGTATTTCATGCTCATATGAAGTGGATGAGATAATTAGCTGGAAAAAATGTAAACGAACGACGATCAAAATTACAAATTGTTTGCTAAGTTTAGATACTAACTTTAATAGTTTAATCCTTTTCTATGATTTTTTACACACTGTTAAAATAGTTTAAATATAAAGCCGGGTCCCCAGCAAAAGTTTATTGAAAATATTCAACAAAAACACACAAAATTTTGTTTCAGAAACACGTTTCTCTACACACGCCGTCTACTGCTCACACACTGGCCGTCGTTCACAAAATACATAGAGCTACGTTCCAAATCTACGATCAAGGTGCAATAAATGACAAATTGACAAAAGTTTAATATGTATTATGTCAAATTTAAACGTCAGTGTGGAAAGATGTAGTCGAATCGTAGATTTGGAACGCAGCCCCCGTTATTGAATTGTCAAAAAAATGGTCGATAAATCAATACCCTCTCCCTCCCGTGCGGGGGTGATTTGTGTACGTGTTTTCCATCGGGCTCGGAAAGCAAAAACTTTGTTGATGCAAACAAATATGAGTAGTGAAACAGAGTTTTGTGTAGATGATTTTGTTGAATGTTGATATGTTTTTGTTCAGGGCAAAACACGTGCTGGAGACTCGGCTAAATATAAACACAAAAGACAAGAAAAGATAATATCTAAAATGACAAAACGAAACCCAGTTATAAAAATAATGTAAATTATGATTGAATAGCTTATTTATATATATTAGCTCAAAAATATCAGCAACAAAGAAAATAGGATCGATATCTTTGCAGGAAAAAGCAGTTTCTTAAAATAAAAAATACTATGTATAATAATGTAAAAGGTACATTATTAAAATTTTAAAACTATCATACTCAAATTAAAAAAAAAAATCGAGTAAAATATTTAAAAATTTAATTTAATTTGACCCAAAAACCTTCAAAATAAGAACGTACTCCTTCCTTAAAGGCCGGCATCGCATTTGTGATACTCCTGGTGTTGCAAGTGTCCATGGGCGACGGTGATCACTTACCATCAGGTGAGCCGTCTGCTCGTATGCCCCCTATAACATAAAAAAACACTTAATTATCTCATTTACTTCTAATATTTACTACATGCTATTATGTAACGTGATTTTTAACTCCCTACTATTTAATCATCATATTCGTCTGTTATTAGGTCTGTGTAATTTAGAGTATTGTCTATTTTAACCATTGACATACAATTAACAAATAAGACTCCCAATCGCCTAACAAAATTTAATCAATAAATCAACTTAATACAGATAACACATTTGTTCAAATTAACACGTTATGTAGTGTCAGTAAAGTTCAATGTCAATTGTATACGAGAGAGAAACGGAGAGTATGATTACGGTACCAAAGAGACATCTATGAACACCGGGGCCACTGTGCGAGATGTTGCGTTATAGCATTTGAAATGAAAATAAGTTTATTGGGAAATATATCTAAAATACGGCACTCAATCCTATTTATAAATAAAACAAAAACAATATCGTTTATTCAGTCAAGGCTGTTACAAGCACTTGGGAATGTCGAAAAGCTACGCTTCGGTTGGCAAATCTACGGCGGGAGACCTTGTACTGAGAAGAATCGGCAAGAAACTTAGTAAGGGATTTCTCCCTGTATTATATACAGAGTCGTCAAATTGAAAAAGGACTTCAATATGAGAAAACTAATGAAGTCACTTTCCATTACAAATGTAAATGATATAAAAATGACTATAAAATAAAAAATATAAAAAATTGATTTAACAAATTTTAAGTTTAGGAATGTTTAGGAATGCCGTGTACTACTGTTTAAGTGTGAATCTAGTGTCATTTGCACAGTTTTAAAACTAAACTTTGTCAGTCTATCGGATCGGGGTAATCAAATAGTGTAGAAACACGACTATATAAATGAAATCTCTGCTCAATAGACGTGTATGCAGACTTTGCCTTCCGACAATTTTTGAGTGTGATTGGGAGTCTTATTTATTTATTATACGTTGATGATTTTAACTATAACTATTGTCTATGGCTGTGTATTTTAGGTTGTAAGACGTACAAAATGCAGATCTGCCAAATTCTACATTATAATGCTAGTTAAAATATTGCGACGATAGATTATTATTATTGATTATTACGTTGAAATATATTGTATGCTTGTATAAATATGTACCTATTAATCTGTTCATCGGGAAATATACGAGACTTAACTGACTTTATTGTAAGATGAATTAATATATTTTCTTATTTATTTACACAATTTCTGAAGTGACTTCTTGATGCTAGCATGTTAATTTGATCTAACTTTCTAAGTGATGTTGAAAGTTAACAAATAAGGAAATGTTTTTCATATTCACTTAAAATCAGCACATATTGATAAAGACAGGCTGGTTTATATAAATATTGCAATTGTGTCGCAAGTTGATAAAAATTTTCTCGCTCTTAACACAAGGTAATAGAGTTACATTTTATTATAAGCGCTAATACGGTATACTACAGTATACCGTGATAAAACACCCTGTTTTTAATAATATTTTTTTGCATTCATAACTGCTGTTAAATAGTTTGATCAACAAACAGTTACATTTTTATTAATGTGCTACAGTCAACTTTACCTCTATTATCAGACTTGTCTATATTTCAAAATAAGATTGATTTCGCCATAATAAAGGCACGTTAGTTATTAAGTGGTTACTTTAACAGTGACATTTTTATGATTGATATATTTTTTTATTAATATTAATTGTAATATGGTATTCGTACACACGCTTGTATAGACAGCTTTATCGCGCTTGTAACGCACATTTAAAATACTTATAATACTATATCAAACAGTACCGCCTAGCCAGTAATAAAAACGAAAAGTTTTAACATTAGACTTGCAACGAATAGTATATTCGGCAGTATACCGAATATTCGGCGAGGCCCCTGACCGAATAGCCGAATATTAGGCAAAAGTATTCGGTTGGATTTTAGCGCCAAAAACTTGTACAGACGTGATTGTTTCGCGCTCCTTTGTTTTGTTCTAATGTACTCATCGCCCGCGCGTCCGCTGTTGTTCTGCGCGGTATATTGCTAACGCAATGCATGTTTCGGCATGTGGTCATTGGTACATTAAACAGGTGTTTTATGTACCAATGACTACTTAATAAATGATTATAAAAGAAATGAGAACCTTACCCTTCTAAATTTTGATTACCACAATAATTCAAATACATAGAATCCTCCATTTTTCCAATTCAGAAGATGATTATGTACCTGTGTTATGTACCAATGACTACTTCAATGATTATATATAACAGAAATAAAGATATGACTATATACGTAATCAATCCATTTTAATTTTTCTTTTTACCAAATATTTCTCTATGACAAAATATATTATTTAAGTATTCGGTATTCGGCCGAATATTAAGTAGATATTCGGTATTCGGCCGAATATAATAAAAGCAGCCGAATAGGCCGAATACCGACAAGTAACCGAAAATTCGTTGTAAGTCTACTTTTCATGTGTAAATGCGATATTATATCCTGTTGTGATATTTTCAACAATGTCTATTCTATTTTAAATTGTCAAATTAGTTTAATTAAAAAAAAAACTTTGTGTTTGGTGACCTCCGTGGCCGAGTGGTAAGTACGTTTCAAGGTGTCGCCTGTTCAGAGGTCCCGGGTTCGAATCCCGGCAGCAAATGTTTGTATGATGAATATGAGCATTTGTACCCAAGTATCAGTATAATATGTATTCTACCTGTTACCCTAGTATCCCATAATCCAAGCCTTACAGTGCTTACTTCGAGGTTGGGCTAATTGATGGGAGTGTTAGAAATTTATTTATTTTATATACATTTCTATTGTTTCAAAGTTCATAAAGCTTGGCAAGTACAAAAATGCTAAAAGTCACTTATGCTGACATTGTATTGTAGGTAGCTTAGTTATTAAACGCAGTGCATATTCAAATGCTTTAATTAATGTTTGCAATACGTTAGCTTGCTTGTGTGCAATTATAGTTGATAGCCTGTAAGCTTGCTTGTGTGCAATTATAGTTTATGTAGTAGAGGTTCCTTACGTTCGTTGTTAAAGTTGCAACATTTATTACGGTTTACTGTCTTAATAATTGATGTAAACGTACATGAAGGCTCATACTGAGTGTGAGTGGTCGACTATTAAAAACCGAATGCCATATTTCTCATGGCATTCTTTGTTTCATCGTAATTGATCGCTTTTTATTTTAATATTGCATAAAAGTTAAAGTATATTTTTGATTATAACTTCCCAACTTAGGAGAATGGCAAAAAAGTAGGAATGTTATTTTCCCCTCAATTTTACAAAGGAAGGCAAAATATTGTAATAAGTCGTAAGGAAATATTATCGTCGTGTTATGTTCTCACATACCTTTTATTTTATGCGTAAAAAGCAATAACACAATTCTGCTTTAATTATAGTAAAATTTATCCTTAATCATGGTTGTATTGAGGAGTAGGAACATGATTCCTTTCCATGTTTAGTATTTGGGGTTGACAAGTCAGAACGTGGTCGACATACGATTGTTCGTTGTTTTACATTTTGTGAATATCCATTACTAGCTGTGGCCCGCGGTGTTACCCGCGGTTTATTGGGGATATTTTCCCGCAGTAAAACGTAGTCTATGTGTTACATACAGGGCGTCAGCTTACTCTATACCAAATTTGATTAAAATCCCTCCAGTCGTTTAGACGTGTAGAAGTAACAAACATACACACTCACAAACTTTCGCCTTTATAATATTAGTGTGATTGACTCCGAGTTATCGCGATATTTTGCCTTAAAACTTCAGAATGAATCCTTACGAGTATACACTCTAAAGAAACTGCCCGACTCTGTTACGCTTTCACAGACAAATCGCTGACATGATTGTGATTTTTTTTTATTTAGATAATAAAGAATTCAGTTTCAGAAAGACGTTGGCTGTGTATTTTATTTATAAAATAAAAATTTAAGTTATTTAGCATAATCTATTTTTAAAGGCAGATTATGTAGTGTGTACTCATTTCTATCTATTTAAATAAAACGACTCGCCGAAATGTTTGTACGTAAATATAATATGTTATTTCCGAAAGATAAAATTGCATAATCCTATTTTTTGTTTTGTATTCGTTTTGTACAAAAAGATTATTAAAAAAATATTTGAAAATCCTTGATTGTTCTGTACTGACATTTCAACAATTTTTAATATCGAATTCGAATCCGCGTATCTGGGCCGGCGCTACTTTTAAGTAAAATTCGATCTAGAAACTACAGTCAGATTGAATGTTACAGAATTGCCTCATAGATGTTAAGCTAATTAATTTAGTCTGATAAAATCTAATAGAACTACGACGTTGACTTTTAAAGACCAGTTCTTTATGGGTCTTTTTGGAATTATGACCTCATCAAGATTCGACCATTTCATGTAAAGCATTGTACTAGGACTATTTCTGTTTTTGAACACTTGTACTCTATCTTCTATTTGACTACCCTTATTACGGCAAAAATACGCAACTCTTTTTGATGTATTCCTGTAAAAGCAGCGAAACTCGACAAGAAGTAAACATAGTATTAAAAAAATATCATCGCATCAGTAAAGTATTTTAACTTCATAGATTGTTATAAAAAAATCTTTTGCTTTTGCATACTGTACTGAATGGAGGCGAAAAACAAAATGGTCGAATCCTGAAACAGTCATATTACGAGGTAGTCTTAAGCAGAAGTGGTCAAAACTAGAAATGGTCGTATGCATAGACAGTCATTTCAAGAAGTGGTCTCCAAACCAAGGAAAGTCAAACTCCGGAAACTTGGGCCTTCACTCGTAGTTGCATGGTTTTTCCAATAGAATTGATGTTTCTGTGAACCTCTGTTACAGTTTTAAGTTTAGTGTATGAATGCTTGTTTTGCAATATTAAAAAATTGGCTTTAATATATATTTTTTTTATATTTATCTATAGTTATTTGTTAGATTAGTTTGAAATCGCTTTTGCGTGTGTGTTGAATTTGTTTGAAGCATTACTAGCTAGTGATTTATTTTTTCTTTCAATATAATGGCTGTGTTAACGATATCTATTTTCGTGTCGGTGATATTTTAGTGTATTTTGCACTTGGCTGTTAGTAATTGTGATTGTTTTGTAGTTAAGTTTGGTTTCCGTACGGTTTTGTAATTTTAATTTATTCATATCGACATAGTGTTCAATAGTGCCCTAATATTAGGATTGATGTTAGAAATTAAAACAGAATACTTATCTATGAGTTGTTCAGTTTCAAGTCTGAATTTTATTACATTAAATAAATGAATGAATATTCATTAAACTTCAGTATTACAACCCTTATTGTAATCATATTTTGAATTCACCTTAGGATGTGAATGAATATGTTACGTTGTCCGAATATTATTTTTATCTATTTATTAATACCTATGTCATTTTCCCACATTTCCATAAATTGTATAAGATTTAGAAGTTAGAAACTTAATATAGGTTTGTAAATGGTAAGACATGCCGCGCAAGTACCTTTATAAGATGGAAAATACTCAAGTAAAATTTTAACAAATGTCATGTTGTCAACGCAACCTGAAAGTCATTCCGAGTGACATGTTTGGTGAACCATTTCATTGCTTCGAAATCTTGGCCGAATCTAACTACTTATATATATTTATTTGCTTAACCTGTTACACGAAACCGGATACATTTAATTAACTTGTACGGTTACGGTGTAAAACCACGGTTTGCGAGAAAGTATTGAAAACATAAATTTGAAGAAGAAAAAAAGGCCGAAAAAGATTAAGGAAAACCGGCACTTCATAAACTACCGTTCGTTCAAAGAGGCAAGTGGCAAATCTCGAGACTTTGTAATTAACCTCATTCCTTTTCGTAAACGCAAAAAAGAGCCAAAAGTAATCCCTTAAAATATTAAGTTTATCCATTCGTTTTGGTCGTTTTTAATTCTTATTAAAATTACGAATCTTACTCTCAATACTGAATAGGCCTTGGGTTTGTTAAATTGGTAAGCCGAGAAATTTATGAGAAGAAATTCTGGGTATTTTTGTTTGGATATTTTACAACGGAGGTTTGAATAAATCTTTTCTATGTTATCGTTGTCAACCGTAATTTCCTATTTAGGTACTTAAAACTGGCTGTGTATCTTTTAAGTGTTTTACTGGATTCAGTTGTTATGAAATACTTTTTGATTTGTTATAGTACTTTATGGGTTTCTTTGACGTTTTTAACTTTGATTAAATTTTAACGCGGCTAATAATGTCATTCGCATCCCATAATTTTCGTTAATAACAACGTGCAATGTATTAGATAACGAGTTTTACTCTCGCACTCATCTAGACAGGTTATTAGTAAAAAGATAGATTTATAGCTATTAATGGGATTGTTACCATGTACCTTGTTTTTTATGAGTCTCCGATATTTCGGCACTGTTGCAAGCGCCATGATCACGGAGTAACTGACTGCTATACTGTTAGTGACCATGAAAGTTTAAAACAATGTGAAGATAGATTTATTGTGACCGCCATATTTGTTTTAGGTTATGAATGACTTGACTATTGTAATTATTAGAGGTAAAATTGGTATTAAACTTTTTAATGTTCTCTTCGTTCAAATTTTCCAAAATTTGGCTATGGTATTAGTGTATACATGTGTTAATAATATGTTAAACTACGCACCCAATAATTATGGATGATAAAAAGACATGTCAGCTTATAAAAAATCGTTGAGTCACTCCGAGTACTCCCTTTATTATAATTATTTTAATGAAAGTTAGAAGAAAGTATTTGTACATGTGTATGTACATTTATTTATAATGTAAAACAGTATTCAAATGATTTTGTAAAGTTGTTTTTAACTTAATAAAAAATAAATTTTACTTGCTACAGAATTGATATCTTTAAACGTTCATTTGGTACATCTTAATAAACATACTATTTAAATAAATGAATTAAATAGAGACGTTTGTTTGTATCTGGGTGACGTAGTTTGAACTAGGTATGGTTGTAAATCAAATGGTTGTAGTAGTATTAAAATTTCCTGTTCTTATTGCCAATGATTATTATTATGTAATAAATCCTGTGTTTATGAAACATGATGTTGTATGATTTATAAAAAAATCATTTAAAGTAGCTTTGCTGACTTGTAATAAGTGAGAAAAACATATCGACTTTTAAAAGATAACAGTATTTTATTCACACATTATGATTATTTAAAGATATCTATTGTTTCCATAACTATTTATATAATTAATTTAACTGGTTTATTAGGGCCTACTTTCGTGACTCCGAAATTCCTTATTTACCGCAAGTAACCGGAGTGATTTATCAGTTTTTCAAAGGTATATATATTTACACCGTAATGCGTAAGAAAACAATCTGTCAGTTTTTTCTAAAATATACTCCAATCTTGTTACGAAAAAAATCAACGTAGCACGGTAATATTACGTAGAACTTCGTAGCTCCGCGCTACATAAGCGATGTGACGTCACGGACTCTCGCTACAGTTTTGTGCGTAATGTTGTTACGTAGGTTTCTACTACGTCCTAATCCATACATACAGTTCTTACAAAATTGCTTTTACGAAAATTGTAACTTGTGAGAGATTTACTATTACTTTAAAGTAGGAAAGGAAGTTTATGCAAGTTTTGCGAAGTCGGCAAACTTTTAATTATTGATATTTGTTTTGATAAAGTTTGCGAGTTTGATCGGGTGCCGGGGGTGGGCGCGTGTGGGCGTGCTCACGGGGCGGGCGCGGACGCGGCGCGGGTGCGGCGCGGCGGCGGCGGGGGAGGTGCGAGCACGTGTCGCGCGCTCACGTGGTGCTGCCAGCGCGCTCCTCCGGCGTGCCGGCCGTATGAATAATTGTGTACGGAGTGAATGAATCGATGCGGCGGCGGCGCGGGCGGCGGGCGGTGGGAGAGGGCGCGGGCGGCGGGCGGCCGCTGCGTGGAGGGGTGCGCCGCGGCGCGCCAGTCTCGTGCCGGTAGTCGGTAGTGCAACCGAGCGATTCCGGGAGCCGTCCCCGCCGCGTCGTCGCTCGTTCGTAGTCGTAGTGCGCCCGCCGTT